TATGCCGCAGACGTTATTCTCTTTATGTGGGCTTCAGGAGACAGGTTTGGTGTGATATCAACTCCTAGATCTTTCTCTCTGTCTGTTTCATTAAGTACTTCATCTCCTATTCTGTATCCTGTGCCTGGCCTCCTGTTTCCACTGCCTAGTTTCATTACTTTGCATTTACTCGGGTTGAACTTCAACAGCCATTTGTTGGACCATTCACTCAGTCTATCCAGGTCATCTTGTAGCCTCCTACTATCATCCTCTGTTTCAATCCTCCTCATAATTTTTGCATCGTCGGCAAACATTGAGAGGAACGAATCTATACCCTCTGGGAGATCATTTACATATACCAGAAACAGTATAGGTCCAAGGACTGACCCCTGCGGGACTCCACTTGTGACGTCTCGCCAATCTGAGACCTCACCCCTCACACAGACTCGTTGTCTCCTGTTGCTTAGGTATTCCTCTATCCACCGGAGTACCTTCCCTCTCACTCCAGCCTGCATCTCCAACTTTCGCACTAGCCTCTTGTGTGGCACTGTATCAAAGGCTTTCTGACAATCCAAAAATATGCAGTCTGCCCACCCTTCTCTTTCTTGCCTTATTTTTGTTGCCTGGTCGTAGAATTCAAGTAACCCTGTGAGGCAGGACCTGCCATCCCTGAACCCATGTTGATGCTGTGTTACAAAGTTCCTTCGCTCCAGATGCTCCACTAGTTTTTTTCGCACAATCTTCTCCATCAGCTTGCATGGTATGCAGGTTAGGGACACTGGCCTGTAGTTCAGTGCCTCCTGTCTATCCCTTTCTTGTATATCGGGACTACGTTAGCTGCTTTCCAAATATCTGGCAGTTCCCCTGTTGCCAGTGATTGTTATACACTATGGAGAGTGGTAGGCTCAGTTCTCTTGCTCCTTCCTTTAGAACCCAAGGGGAGATTCCATCTGGGCCTATAGCCTTCGTCACGTCCAACTCTAGTAAACACTTCCTTACTTCCCCACTGGTAATCTCAAACTCTTCCAGTGGTTCCTGGTTAGCTATTCCCTCACTTACCTCTGGAATTTCTCCTTGTTCTAAGGTGAAGACCTCCTGGAATTTCTTATTCAATTCCTCACACACTTCCTTGTCATTTGTAGTGAATCCTTCCGCCCCTATCCTTAATCTCATAACCTGTTCCTTTACTGTTGTTTTTCTCCTAATGTGGCTATGCAACAATTTAGGCTGAGTCTTTGCCTTGCTTGCGATGTCATTTTCGTATTGTCTTTCTGCCTCTCTTCTCATCCTGACATATTCATTCCTGGCATTCTGGTATCTTTCTCTGCTCTCCAGTGTCCTGGAGACGTCCTGTGTCCTGTGTGTGTGTGTGTGTGTGTGTGTGTGTGTGTGTGTGTGTGTGTGTGTGTGTGTGTGTGTGTGTGTGTGTGTGTGTGTGTGTGTGTGTGTGTGTGTGTGTGTGTGTGTGTGTGTGTGTTTGTAAATCACGAAATATAACACGTAATAAAAAATGTGACAGTGTCAGACCACGAAAGAAGAATTGAAACAGGAATTTCCTTAAGTATTTTCGTATTTAATAATACTTCTTCAGAAGGATGACCTTCTAAAGATGTATTATTAAATACATCTTTCCGAAGATGTATTATTAAATACGAAAGTACTTAAGGAAATTCCAGTCCTAATTCTTCCTTTGTGGTCTGACATTGTCGGAAATAACACGTTCCATTTCATCTGATGTCTCTGTTCACCTAGCAGTAAATAGGTACCCGCAATTTAGACAACTGCTATCGGGTTGCATATTGAGGAAGGTCAGTAGTTCGACTTTGGGCGGGGGGGGGGGGGGGGGGGGGGGGCGGGGGGGGGGGGGCAGTTGAATCCTAATTGTACATTCCGTGAACTTCAAGCTGGTACAACAGTCCATTTTTGTACGTTAGAGTAATTTTTCCTATAAGTACATTTTTTCCGCTTTTTTAACAGGTAAGTACAGGAGCAGACGACTCCTAACACCTGTTAGCAGACTGATTATTTATTATTAACTTCTTTATTGACAAAATTAATTACAATTTTGCCTAATCTGAGGATTTCGAATAAGTCTTATTAAAGTGAGGATAATGCTGGCATTCACTGTCACGCAGGACAGAGGGTCATACATAAGACATTAGGTCTAAACTGTAGGCGGAAGCACATATATATCATGGTTACAATCGAGGTTTTAATGTATGCAGCTGTTAGGTTTTCCTTTTCAGAGCTTATGGTAAGTCTTGCCCGCTAGTCTTCCCTACAACACAATTCGCTAGTCGTTTAAGAACCATGTATCCGATGGCTAACCATGTATCCGATGGCTACTGGGTGAATAGGCAACCCGTCCTCTCGAGCGTTCAGGACGTCACTAAACTGCAGCCCGTCCTCATAAACAAAGGCCAAAGTCCATTCCATACACCGGCCAAACCCCCGCTGTTTATGAATGAAAAACGGTTTACACACGACTCACAACTGCTGACGTCCGAACACTTCCGGAACAAGTGTTTCACTGACGAATTATGTTCGAACCACAACGCTGTAAATGCTTCACCCACGTTAAAATCTATGAATGCGTCTTTGGGGTCGACCGCTGGATGGAATGGACTTCGTCTGAAGACGGGTTATGTTCAGGCTCGTGCTTGTTCAAGGTTGAATTGCCTCAATGTCTCTTTAGAGTCATAATTGGCCCAATCTCATATACTGCCAGGGTTGGTTATGTTAATTTACCAGCTGGTGATAGTAATGTCTACTTCCCTGGCGGTGTTGGCCGTGTCTACTTTCCTGGCAGTGTTGTCCATGTCTACTTCCCTGGCAGTGTTGGCCATGTCTTCTTCCCTGTCAGTGTTGGCCGTGTCTTCTTCCCTGGCAGTGTTGGCCGTGTCTTCTTCCCTGCCAGTGTTGGCCATGTCTACTTCCCTGCCAGTGTTGGCCATGTCTACTTCCCTGGCAGTGTTGGCCATGTCTACTTCCCTGCCAGTGTTGGCCATGTCTACTTCCCTGCCAGTGTTGGCCATGTCTACTTCCCTGCCAGTGTTGGCCATGTCTACTTCCCTGCCAATGTTGGCCATGTCTACTTCCCTGCCAGTGTTGGCCATGTCTACTTCCCTGCCAGTGTTGGCCATGTCTACTTCCCTGCCAGTGTTGGCCATGTCTACTTCCCTGCCAGTGTTGGCCATGTCTACTTCCCTGCCAGTGTTGGCCATGTCTACTTCCCTGCCAGTGTTGGCCATGTCTACTTCCCTGCCAGTGTTGGCCATGTCTACTTCCCTGCCAGTGTTGGTCATGTCTACTTCCCTGCCAGTGTTGGCCATGCCTACTTCCCTGCCAGTGTTGGCCATGTCTACTTCCCTGCCAGTGTTGGCCATGTCTACTTCCCTGCCAGTGTTGGCCATGTCTACTTCCCTGCCAGTGTTGGTCATGCCTACTTCCCTGCCAGTGTTGGCCATGTCTACTTCCCTGCCAGTGTTGGTCATGTCTACTTCCCTGCCAGTGTTGGCCATGCCTACTTCCCTGCCAGTGTTGGCCATGTCTACTTCCCTGCCAGTGTTGGCCATGTCTCTTAGTTTTGTTTTGATCCCAACTTCCATCCGGTTTTTGTTGGATCAATTCATTTTAGATTTTGCGTTCCATTCCTGCTCTTGCATAACAACATTACACAATTTGACTGTTTTATTATTTTAAATAATTATTGTTGCTCTGGGGATTTCCGTGTACTTTTCCTTCGTTAGTTTTTTACCCATGTCCAGGTCCCCCCTATTCTCGCTGGCTTCACCTACCTGGTGCAGGTGGGCCGCCTGGAAAAAGGACCATCACCAGACTCTATTTTACGGAGTTTCCAGGAAGGAGAAGGAGGAGGAAAGGGGCCCCGTAGACAACCAGGTAACCCGCAGGTAGTCGGCCGCCTCCACTACCAGGAACACTGTACCCGGCCGCTCAGCCACGATGGGAACCCTCTTTGGGCACGGCAGCGTCGGTGCCTTCAGCATAAGTGTGCCCGCGGGGCTGGAGACAAACTGAGTCTTATTGGTTTCTCTGGTCAAAAGATCAAGTTCAGAAGTGCCTTCGAATTGGACTTTGATGAAAACAACTTTTAAAAGCGATTTTCGGCCTTTTTGGCATGGGTATGCTCGTGAAAAATATGAAGTGACTATGGCAGTTCGAGGCTTCGAATCTTCGAAGACACACTAAAAAACACGAAGTCAATGAAGTGTATGATTACTTCCTGACCTTGAGTCTAAGTCACTATGGCCAAGACTCTGGGGAAATAATATTTATAAGACGGTGCTAATGGCCGTTGAAGCTCCTAAGAAAGTGTTTACGAGTGTTTCTGAAATAAAGTGCTAAATTTTTGTCATAAGTCTGATATGTGGAAGATACTTTGTGGGTGCTATATACACTGATGTCTCAGGGCCAGTGGCCACGTCTTGAGATGTGGGACATCCCGAGGGATCACATGCAGGTGAGTGACTTCTGATGTCTCAGGGCCAAGTGTCTTAGTATGTGAGACGCCCCGAGGGGTCGTTTGCGTGCGTGAGTCACGTCTTAGAAAGTGAAATGGATACAAATGTGTCAGCGTCTTTACGTGTCATGTTTGAGCGTCTCACGTCCAAGAAATAGTGACGTGTTTTTATGTTTTAGGAATAGTTTCAAGTTTTCCTGGAATTTAATAACTGTACTTGTGAGAAGGAAACTTGCTATAACAGACATTTGGATTGCTAATTCTGTAAGGTTACAGAATTAACTTTAACCTTAATAATACTATTTAGAAGTTGTGAATAGTATTACAATATTCACTACAAGATGACGTCATACACAAAACCGCTTCTCTTTCAGAACTTACTATGTTAAGATTTACTCGTTCGTTCTCTTTCAGTTCTTTGAAATGCGCATATTTCCGAATAAAAGCATATTTAATTTGTGTAAAAAAAAATACACTAATCGTAAAATACGGATTTATAGACAAAGTGTGGAATAAGCCACTATACTAACTAGTCTCTTTATTATCTGGTCAATACCAACAAATATCGATCGCTGTAAATAAAAAATAAAAAAAAGCCAGCTGATCGACCCCCAGTGGACACAATATCCAAGTGCAATGGTCATCAGTTCGACGCCAAATCAACGTTAAATTAACGCCGATAGCGTTGATTCAACTATGAACTATCGCCACTCTGGGATATTGTGTCCACTGGGATAATGGTGGGAGCCCGCGGGATAAGGGGCTCCGGCGAGGTGCAGGAGGCTTCACCAGCGCTTCCTGCGCTGTCATCTGCCAAGCATCTGTTGACATTCCACCAGCTGAGACCGTGAACATGGCAGCTCCAGCACCCGCCTGCGGCCTTCAAGTCTTCTAGCACCGAGGTCACCAACTGGGTCATTACCTTGGTCCCTCGTAACTGGTGATTAAATCGAGGCGCGTGGGTTTCTTGGCTGAAAGAAGACAATATTTAGAACACTAAGAAAAGGAAGACAATTTTGAGGAGAAAAGTTTTAAGCCAGTATGACTATGTAGGACATGGAAGGGATTACGAATACAGGCTAGAAGCTGTGAATAGGAGGACGGATTCCTAATAGAAGGATTCCAAACCAATTGCATCATCAGCGATCGAACGCCAACCTGCGGGGGAAGCGAGTCCGTCGTTGTGCCGACCATTTCAAGTGCATGGACAAGAAAAAAGTGATAATCATTAATAAAAAAAAATATGACTGATACGGAGCCAAATATTTCGGGTCAAATGACTTAGTGAGAGACAGTAATAATTCCCTTATAAAGCCGCGGGTGAGGAATCCATGTGTTGCTGGTCGACTACTCGGCCTCTTGGAAGGTGCTTGCTGGATACTGTGAGAAGCTCCGCCCGGCCCAGCATTCCAAGATCCTGACCTAACTCAGTGAGTCAGCCTTCAGCCTCTGAGCCTCGCAGTCGCGGCCGTGACGGGAGCTTGGCCACTGCTCCTGACCGCCAGGACCAGCTAGTTCACGGGGGAGGTCAGTCGAGGTCCACGACCCGACGTAGATGTCAACGGTCCGTTACTACGAGTGACATAATCTATGGTGCCCCAGCCTGAACGACCCTGCGACCACCTCCGTCATTTCCGGTTTGTCCTCATCGTTGTTCACCCAGCGGCTGTTTCCGGTGAGTGAGTCCCCACTAAACAGGTGTGAGGCAATGGTGAGTAATGAGGATGAGTGAGTGTGTGGGTGAGTAAGAGGAGGCCCTCAGTCGGCCGTAGAGGCTAGGAGGGTGAGGCCACTGCGGTGCATGCTCAGACACGGCCACGCACGCTGCCGCCCGCCGTGGCAAGTGTCCGCCGAGCCCGACCGTCCTAAGCCACTGTACTCAGTCACAGTGCGTTCGTCAACACCACAAGCCGCTCCACCAGGATTTACAGTGAAAGTGTCGTCAGTGATGGTGGCCCAGTGGTTAGCAGCGGTGTTCAGGTCGAGGTGCGGGCGTCCTCATGTGGCGTGATGAGGCCCCTCACGCCTGGCTTACTGCTATGCGGCGAACAGCGATTACTAAAATCATGTTGATAGCGAGAACCAATTGTTTACCGCGATGTAACTGTGCAGGCGTATACACTTCCAGAGACTCGGTGAGATACACTCGGCAAAGTGTTTGTTGTGATGTACTTACGGCGGTGTTTAGGATAAGCATGTCCGCGGCTTGAGTGCGTGTGAGTGTATGTTGTGATCAGTTCAGAGCGTGGAGGAGCCGTGTGCCTCCTCCTGCCGCCCGCCGCCCACTGCCCGCCCGGGTCCTGGCTGACTCAGGCGTGACTCAGGCACTACCTGCCGCCTACCGGCCGACGCCCACGCGCGCCCACGTGTCTCTACGGGCCTATGCTCTCGCGCGCCAACGTGCCTGTACCTGCCAACGCCCACGCGCACTCACGTGTGCGCACGTGCCAACGCCCACGTGTCTATACCTCGCGCGCGTCTCTACGGGCCTACGCCCACGCGCGCCCACGTGTCCGCACGTGCCAACGCACCTGCCGGGACCGTGGCTGTACCTGAAGCTCTCGATAAGCCTCCGTGGCGTCCGTGACCTGCAGGCAGGATGACCGTCGCGGTGGCCGCCACACTGACGGACCTGCCGCTCTCCCTTGCCCTGCTCCTCGGCATGGACGACGTCCCCGACGCCCCCATGCGCCACCCACGGCCGCCCGACGCCCCCCCTGTCACCACCCACGACTCCGCTACGCCCAGTACCTCCCGGCAGGATACCTACGCCCTCGCTGAAGAAATCACCCATGATTCCTACACTCTCGCTGCCCTCGATGCTTACACCCTCGCCGTCCCCACCACCTACACCCTCGCCGCCCCCACCTCCTACTCCCTCGCCGCCCCCACCACCTACACCCTCGCCGCCCCGACCACCTACACCCACGCCATCCCCACCACCGCCCACGAGGCGTACACTCAGGTGGACTTTCCCAAAGCAGCCCATGACACTGGCCTCGACACATATCCTGAGGGCGGGTCACACGGGGCATCATTCTCATGGGAGGGGGTATCGCCCGACCCCGCCCTCAGCCTATACGGGTCCCCGGGGCTGCCCGCGCCCTCACCCCGCCCCACGCCCACACCCGAGGCCACACACTCAGGACATACTCAGAGCGCCGCTCAGAGTGTGAGTGTCACGCTTGCTGACCTCACCCTCGCCGCTCCCCACACCTGCCAAGCCCCTCCTGAGTACACCAGCGGCTACCATGACGCCCCCCGCGGCTACCTCGACACACCCCCCTACAGGAGCAGCGCCTCCCCCTCATTGGCTCTGCTGGCAGGGGAAGACCTACCGGGGAGCTCTGATTGGTCGAGCATCAGCGGAGCGACAGTGGGGTTGGAGGGGTGGGGCGCCGACCCCCTCCAGCACGTGTGGCCCTCTCCCTCCTGGCCCCCCCAGCAGGATCCCTGGACCCTTCAGGTCTCCGCGGCGGGCCACCCTGCGGCTCTCAGCCCCGCCAGCAGGGAGGTGGCCCAAGGCCTCCCGCAGGGGGCGCCCACCGCCCGCCGCTCGGCCTCCCGCTCGCCTCTGAGCCCGCCGGCCCCCTCGCCCGGAGGGCGCTCGCCCCTCGCCCCGCCACTCCCGTCACCCGGAGGACGCTCGCCCCGCTCGCCGCTCGCCCCGTCATCCGGAGGGCGCTCGCCCCTCGCCCCGCCACCCCCTTCACCCGGAGGGGGGGCCCGCTCGCCCCGCGACACCCGCCAGGCGGAGCGACGCCGCTGGCGGCGACGGCAGGAGGAACAGACGGGAGCAGAGGAGGGAGAGTGGCGGGGGCGTGGCAGCGGGTGGCGGCGGTGGCTGCCCCGCCGCGCACACAGTCTGGTCCTCATGGAGGGAGAGGGAGGAGCGGCGGCGGAGAGTGGGGGGACTGGCACCCCCAGGGCCTCCCCCACCGCCCCCCCTCACACCCCGACACGACACCACACGCCACACGACGCCGACGACGCCGACGACGACGACGCGCCGGTGTGCGTCCCGCCAGGTGAGTCACCCAGATTTGAAATGTTTGATCATGCGCGCGCAGTCGCCCTTAGACCGGTCTGAGGCGCGGGTCTACCGCCCACTAGCGGGTGGCGTGGCACCGTGCCTGCCGTGGGTGGCGGCAGGACACACACACACACACACACACACACGCCGCCCTGCGCCACCCAGGCCACGCCGACCACCTTCTGGTGCGGGGCGGCAGCTGAGAGCCAGTGGCCCCGCCCACGCCACACTCACCGCCCACACCCACCGCCACGCCCACCAACGCCACTCTTGCAGGCGTGTTGCACACACACATACGCGCAATGCGGTGCAGCGTGTGCAAGGCGGCCACTTCCTCCATGCACTGGCGGATGCTGGCGGCCCAGAGACCGTTGGTTACCTTCCAGGAATTGCAGACGGCATGTGTGGGGGAGGGGGGGGTCAATGGAGGGGTGTGGAGGGGGAGTGGGGGGTGGAGGAATGGTCCGGGGGGAAGAAGGGGGTGTTGGTGGGGTTTAGGGACCTCGTACGGGGGTAAAGATGGCTATATACATGCTCCCCATCGTGTCACGTCTTCCCGGGTGAGAGAGCTTTGCTATGCGTCTTGAATCTAGGTGCGGGGCAGGCAGATTATTGCTCAGCGTATGGTCGCAGCCGCTCTCCTGCCTGCCAGCGCTTGGCCAATCGCTCGGCGTATAGCAGCAGCCGCTGACTCTCCTGACAAGGCTTGGCCAATCGCTCGGCGTATAGCAGCAGCCGCTGACTCTCCTGACCAGGCTTGGCCAATCGCTCGGCGCATAGCAGCAGCCGCTGACTCTCCTGACAAGGCTTGGCCAATCGCTCAGCGAATGGTAGCGGCCGCTGACCTGCCTGCCAGCGTTCGGCCAATCACTCCGAGATCACTGTGAGTCTTCATACACGCTATCGGTCATTCATACATTTTCCTTTTACGTTTTTTGTATAATACATGATTATGGTTGAGTGGGCCGCAGGTTTGTCGGACAGGTTAGAAAAACTCGAGTGTGAGCTCTGAGGGGCTATCCTGCTGGTGGCGTTGTGGAGGCCCGTGGAGAAGCACTTGAGTGTGAGCTCTGAGGGGCTATCCTGCTGGTGGCGTTGTGGAGGCCCGTGGAGAAGCACTTGAGTGTGAGCTCTGAGGGGCTATCCTGCTGGTGGCGTTGTGGAGGCCCGTGGAGAAACACTTGAGTGTGAGCTCTGAGGGGCTATCCTGCTGGTGGCGTTGTGGAGGCCCGTGGAGAAACACTTGAGTGTGAGCTCTGAGGGGCTATCCTGCTGGTGGCGTTGTGGAGGCCCGTGGAGAAGCACTTGAGTGTGAGCTCTGAGGGGCTATCCTGCTGGTGGCGTTGTGGAGGCCCGTGGAGGGGTACTGTGAGCAGATAATTAGGCCCTGTGAGGCCACTCAGGGTGCAGGGACAAGCAGGTTGCCCTCTACTTCACACAACTCCATAATTTGACCGCTGGTCAAGGGGCCCCAGAGATGTTGCATATGAGGTACCGGAAACATGCAATGGCCGCCTGCCACGGCCGGTCCTCTGAGAGAGGCGAGGGGGGCCCAGTGCAGGGGGTTCAGCCCAAGCTTGTTCCGGTAATGTATTTCATGGCTAAAGCTTGGCGCCTTGGCTTGAACCTCTGGCTTGGTGTTGGTCTTATGAACTATAACACCTCTGGAGGCTGGACGGTAGAGCGACGGTCTCGCTTCAGGCAGGTTGGCGTTCAATCCCCGACCGTCCAAGTGGTCGTCCTCGTTCCATCCCAAATCCTTATCCTGATCCCTTCCAAGTGCTATATAGTCATAATGCCTTGGCGCTTTCCCCCCTGATAATTCCTTCCTTCCTTCATTCACGCCACCACCATAACTTACTGACCAACCAGCAAGGATATTCTTGAACACAGTCCAGGACAAAAGTAAACTCCCAGTGTGTATATATATACACCGAGAAGCGGGGTGTACCTCCAGTGTATTATTATCCTACTCAACCGTGTTCAAGAGTCCTCCACGTTTTTCGCTGAAAGATGAATCGAGGATACATCATGGGGTTCCCTGAAGCCTCTGGTCCGCCCTCAGGCTGAAGAGAATATAAATGATCCATTAGAAGGTGGTGTAGTGATTCGTTAGAGGGATATAGTGATCCGTTAGAGGGGTACAGTGATCCGTTAGAGGGGTACAGTGATCCGTTAGGGGGTTACAGTGATCCGTTAGAGGGGTACAGTGATCCGTTAGAGGGGGTACAGTGATCCGTTAGAGGGGTACAGTGATCCGTTAGAGGGGTACAGTGATCCGTTAGGGGGTTACAGTGATCCGTTAGAGGGATACAGGGATCCGTTAGAGGGGGTACAGTGATCCGTTAGAGATGTACAGTGATCCATTAGAGATGTACAGTGATCCATTAGAGGGGTACAGTGATCCATTAGAGGGGTACAGTGATCCGTTAGATGGGTACAGTGATCCATTAGAGGGGTACAGTGATCCATTAGAGGTGGTACAGTGGTCCAAAGAGTAATAGAGGTCCATTGAGTCCTCTATTAAAATAAAGAGTCCACAGAGGAAAACAGCGGTCCATTGAAGCTCGCTGTGCCATTCCAATGGAAAGCCTAATGCTGCAGCTTGTGTCCCAACGCATTAAAAAATATCAACAATCATAGAAGATAATGTGTAAGAGGAAATATCTCCTGGTTGCCCGTATAACAAAAATAAGATGAAGCACCCTCAACTAAAAATATTAATGAGTTAGATTATTTTTAGAAGGAATTGCTTGGAATTATTGGTGTAGAGAGCATGTGACTGGCCAGACCACACACTAGAAGGTGAAGGGACGACGACGTTTCGGTCCGTCCTGGACCATTCTCAAGTCGATTGTGGCACGTTATTGTGACTCATCACCAGCATGTGACTGAGGCTGGACTTTATAGTTCTCTGAATCCAAGTGTTTCCATGACGTAAACACGAGAACAAACTAACGTCTAAACACTGTGAATGTTAGCGCAGCAGCAGTCTATCATTTTCATCTCATTTGCTGGTGTCTTAGCAGTGCTCTGTAACTGTGGTGTCACCCCGAAGTGGCAGACGTTTCTTACTTGTTCATTGCAATATCCGAAAATTCGGCTGTAACTGCGATTGAAACTGGCAATGATGCCGTTGCTCCATTCACTCCTCAGCGCACTAGCACCGCCATCAGTCATTCTCTGGGTCGTGGGACGGGAAGGGGCTGATCGTACCCTGCGGCCGAAGACGTTTTGCACACTCCAAGTTTTTTTATTTTTTTTTGCCTTAACTAGGAGTGAATCTTCGAAGATTCCCCCCCCCCCCCCCCGTGTACGATCATTATATATAGGGAGCCGGTCGGCCGAGCGGACAGCACACTGGACTTGTGATCCTGTGGTCCTGGGTTTGATCCCGGGCGCCAGCGAGAAATAATGGGCAGAGTTTCTTTCACCCTATGCCCCTGTTACCTAGCAGTAAAATAGGTACCTGGGTGTTAGTCAGCTGTCACGGGCTGCTTCCTGGGGGTGGAGGCCTGGTCGAGGACCTGGCCGCGGGGACACTAAAGCCCCGAAATCATCTCAAGATAACCTCAAGATAACGCCTTCAGGACTGTAGCCCCGTAGCGCCCTGCCACTCCGTGTGTCACCCTGAGTGTCCGTGCATCTTAGAACCCCCAAAAAAGTAAATTCCGGAAGATTGAAATCACCCATTCGAATGAATTAGTTTCTTAAACCGGCCGCATAACACGTTTTTTTTTTTCCTATGTGGTACAGCGTGTAGTGGATTATCGAAAGCACTTCAGCTCGGTGCTATGGTGTGAGTGCTATTGGTCAGATATGATGCGACGGTTTGTCTGGCTTTATCAGAATTAGTCTCGTTTATGTGATTATAATTTGTTATCAGTATTATTAGTATATTATTTATTAGCGTTAATGTTGATATTATTAATATTATTATTTTAGCATTAGTTTTGTTTTGATAATATTTATTATTATTATTATTATTATTATTATTATTATTATTATTATTATTATTATTATTTTGTTAGTGTTAATATTGCTTTTACTGTTATTATTATTATTGATATAACTATTAACTTTATTATTATTATTATTATTATTATTATTATTATTATTATTATTATTATTATTATTATTATTATTATTATTACTATAATTATTTTATGTATGTTTCTTTTACACATATCATATTTTTTAATTGTAAACAATATTATTTTAACTTGTTAGTATTAGTTGTATTTTTTTTAATTAATTAGTTGTAGTTTTTAATTCTTTGTAAATTTCCCCTTTACACTTATTGCACTGCAGTTCTTACGCCGGCGACCACAACGTCGGAATTACAGTGTTTTAGTGAAATTATGTTTACGCGGTAATAATTTTACGTTGTTTCGGACTGTTAAGCCTCGGGTCCGAGAGGTTAGGAGGGTTGGCTAACATCCCACGCTTCGGGATAGGCAAAAACCACCGCAGATTTGACGTTTGTGAAATCATCTATAATTTCGTGTACTTTGTCCTGGTCAGTTATCAATTATTGCCTTTTTGGCGTTGTTCTTTGATTATTGTTAGTGTTATTATTATTATTATTATTATTATTATTATTATTATTATTATTATTATTATTATTATTATTATTATTATTATTATTATTATTTATTATATAGGTAAAGGTGGAGATTTGCGTAGTTATCGTTAACAATGCGGCGGCGAGTCTTTTATACCTTTACTGAATGTTATCAGCCCAGTCATTCACAGTCATTCACAGTCATTCACAGTCATTCACTGGATTTATGAATTGTTGAAGTGTCAGCATATTGTAACCGGCAGATTGTTGCCCAAATTTGCGTTCTATAACCTGGCGTATTTGGTGCGGCCACAGCCTCGAAATTGAGTTTTTTTTATTATTATTTTTTACCAACGGGAACATCTGTCCGGAGGTGACGTGATCTGTCTGGAGGTGACGTGATCTGTCCGGAGGTGACGTGATCTGTCCGGAGGTGACGTGATATGTCCGGAGGTGACGTGATCTGTCTGGAGGTGACGTGATCTGTCTGGAGGTGACGTGATATGTCCGGAGGTGACGTGATCTGTCTGGAGGTGACGTGATATGTCCGGAGGTGACGTGATCTGTCCGGAGGTGACATGATCTATCACCTGGTTGCTGTGGTAGAGGGGGGAGGGGATGGCTATATAATTTGCCAAGTGGGTTTAGCGAACATATGGATCAGCTGCACATATCTTCTGTGGGTTCGCGGGTTCGAATCCCCCTCACGGCTCCTACTGATCTCCTCATTGATACGATACGTGAGTGTGGTTTCATGGTGTACATCTCTTCTGTGTTGCAGAGGCTGCACAGGTCTTGTACTGCATCAAGCACATGTTAGTTGCATGAGCTATTTTTGGGGATTTTTTTTTTTTTTTGTGCGGGGGGAAGTTGCATTGTAGGTTCTCGCCATCTTATATTATATATTATATTAGTTTATGTATATATATATATATATATATATATATATATATATATATATATATATATATATATATATATATATATATATATATATATATATATATATATATATATATATATATATATATACATATATGCGAACAAGCCTGAATGGTCCCCAGGACATATATATATATATATATATATATATATATATATAATATATATTATATATATATTATAGTATTATTTCAATATTATATATTTCGAAAAGTGAGATTATTTAAATTCGAATATGTATCGTTAATCATGATTTATACGTGATTTTTGTGTTGTTGAGTCGTCTATTTTAGTGCCTAAACTGCTTTCAGGGCCGGAATTCATCATCGGCATTTACTCGTTTACTTACGAAACCTCTACATCTTCCAACAATCAGGGCAGGTTAATACACATTTATCAAGCAGTTTGCAAAATTTAAAAACTTCACAATCCAAGATTATTATTGTCATAAACATCTCATTTTGCTTCAGAGCTCACCAGCTGTTTAATAAATGTAAACAAAGCCGTCACGACTGAGGAAAGATGTTCAGGTTTCGTATGTGGTTATGTAAATACTTGACGAGTCCTGGCTCAGCTCTATAGATTTGCGTATTTATGGTTCTACTTGCGTCCAAAACTGCCCTATTCAACTACAAGTTATCTGGACTCTAAGATAACTTGAAGTTGGAGCATAAAAAGTTCAGCAATTCTTATATGAGTCATTAATGATATCAGTATCGTCACATATTATGGCTGAGAGTCAGCATGTTAACCATATATGATTATTATACGGTTATTTTATGGTCACTATGGTTATTATAACCATAAATGCACTGTTTTGTTTCAAATCTAACGCTCGGGGGAAAAACAGAGCCAACACAAACGGATAATTTCTCACCGTTGACCTATCAACAGACTAGGCTTTGGGTCCATGTGGGGCGCGGTAGGTGAGAAGAACATTATCCTGCGTTGGTATGATTATCAAAATCCCAGCTGTTGTTGTTATAGATTCAGCTACTCGGAACAGGTTCCAAGTAGCACGGGCTATGGTGAGCCCGTAACTTACCTGGCACAGGAGCGGGGCAAATAGCACGGGCTATGGTGAGCCCGTAGTGGACTTACCTGGCACAGGAGCGGGGCAAATAACACGGGCTTTGGTGAGCCCGTAGTGGACTTACCTGGCACAGGAGCGGGGCAAATAGCACGGGCTTTGGTGAGCCCGTAGTGGACTTACCTGGCACAGGAGCGGTGCCGTCTGCGTGTTCCCAGCTACTGTTTTCTTTTGGCCTTTGTCTCTCAGACTATGGTACTCCACTTTCCAACCTGAGGTGATACCTTGTTTTAAAAAGAATGGTGGGGGGGGGGGGGGGGAAAGGAGGGGGTGCTTGTTGGTTGGGGCAAAAGAAATGGTAAATTGCATTTTGCAAAAATCCCCCTCCAATGATTTGTGTGGGCTTTTCTCCAACGCTATGAGGCGCCTATTCCCATCCTGAGGTGATTACCCCCCCCCCCCTACATGTATGTGTATGTGTGTGTGTGTGTGTGTGTGTGTGTGTGTGTGTGTGTGTGTGTGTGTGTGTGTGTGTGTGTGTGTGTGTGTGTGTGTGTGTGTGTGTGTGTGTGTGTGTGTGTGTGTTTGTGTGTGTGTGTGTGTGTATCACGAAATTTAACATGTGATGAAAAATGTGACAGTGTCAGACCACGGAGGAAGAATTGAAATAGGAATTTCCACAAGTACTTTCGTATATTAATACGTCTTCAGAAGGAATGAATGTCATTCATTTCCTTAAGGAAATGAATTACATTCATTCCTTCTGAAGATGTATTAATATACGAAGGTACAGGAAATGATGTAAACAAGTTTTTACATCATATATATGTATATATATATATATATATATATATATATATATATATATATATATATAATGTGAAAACTTATTCATACACGTTCAAGCCGACATAGAGACCTTCATACATACACACAGAATGTTAAGCACAAGTTTGAATGAAAACAACGACAGTCACAGAGACATTGTATAGCTTCCCCCTCAGTGTTAAGGTAGCTATCAAACGCGATTGGTGAGAAGTTAGAGTTAGAGAAGTTGCTTAGCGAACAGGAGGTTTCCTAACCTGTGATTATTACACTAGATACCGATAGCTTGTATACTGAGCTCCGGAGCACAATAAATTTAAACGCATTTACATCTGAAAACAGAAACCTGTACACACGACACACGCAAACAACGTTCTGCTCCCCTTGGCATTTGGGAACCGGTCGGCCGAGCGGACAGCACGCTGGTCTTGTGATCCTGTGGTCCCGGGTTCGATCCCGGGCGCCGGCGAGAAACAATGGGCACAGTTTCTTTGACCCTATGCCCCTGTTACCTAGCAGTAAAATAGGTACCTGGGTGTTAGTCAGCTGTCACGGGCTGCTTCCTGGGGGTGGAGGCCTGGTCGAGGACCGGGCCGCGGGAACACTAAAAAGCCCCGAAATCATCTCAAGATAACCTCAAGAAGATGCTGGTAGTGGTAGTGGGGAGCCTCGAACGTGCCTCCTGGCGCAAAGGACTCCGGCAAGAAAATCGTATTGATACCAGTTTGCTTAAACCTTGATTGAATGATTGATAAAGATTAAGCCACCCCAAGAGGTAGCACGGGCATGAATAGCCCGTAACTTAAACCCCTGATTCACTCTCCTCTAAATTCCCTCCACATACCTCCCACACCCTTACCCTTCCCCATCCCACTCTCTCTCCCATTAATTTTTAATGTTAACACACTTAGGTACATCAGCATTTGTGCAGACTATATGAAGGGAAGCACAGGGTGTGTCAAGAA